CCAAATAGAGGGATGCTTTTGGAAGCCCTTGTCAAGAAATTCCAATGAAATCATATGAACATTTGAAAATTGCCCTTTTCTGACTTTTTTCTAGTTCTCTGGCTAGAACTTGTAATGCTAATTACTCTTGTCTTTACTTCTCCTTCACATCTCCTAGTCACAATTCAAGGACTTTCTTTTCCCCTTAGAGAGTTATGCAATTTGGGAGTCTTTTAGATAGAACCACTGAGGAGGTACTTCAATTGCCTCACCCTGCATCCCTGTTCAGCATGGAAGGAGCCAGAGTGGTTTGCGTCCCTATTCCCTATCCGCAAGTTGGGTAACCTCTTCAGAGGATGGTGTGATAAGAATAGGAGGTAGGAATCGGCTAGGCATTTAGGGTAAAAAGACTCCAAAGAAAAGTAGCCAGTTTCTTGGCTAAAAGTCAAAATGTCCTTGGGCCTCTTAGCAACGTACTCTGTTCCAAAGGCCAAAAAATATTGAAAGTATTTGGAAGCATGTATCTAATCCTTAAAAGATTTTAGGGTTACCTCTTCAGAGGGGGGGAATGTTAGAGTAGCCAAAAGCCCCATAAAATTAAAAGAAGAAAGAGTACATGAAGTTATCAGAAAAAAGTGATGGGGCAATATGGGAGGAGTTAGAGGGGAGGGGGTGGGCATGGATTTGATCAAAACACTTTATATTTATGTATGAAATTCTCAATAAATTATTTACTTAAAAAGAAAAAGAATTCCCAGACTGTTTAAATGATGAAACACTGAAAGTAAAGACACATACATAGTTCCCCAGGCACTACATAAAACTGCCTTTTAAGAATGCTTCATCTTTATAATGAATCCTTTCTCTGTGAACCAAGCATATGAAGAGATAGATCTACTTATTAGATGGTATACTGAATAAAAATATGTTTCTAGAATGCTCTGACATTTCAATGAAGTGGGTAAGTCTTCATCTAGATTTAAATAACAGCTACAAAAATACTATGCATCACCTCTCCAGAAGGATGAAAGAAAAAAAGGTTATGCATCCAATCAGCCTCTTTACTGTACTAAAAATCCTTAGCTCCTTGTTGGTAGAGTAACAAATGATATTTTACACTTAAATATTCCAAAAATAGACAGTCTGATAAGACACTGATCCAAAACAGTCACATTATAATACATCTCTTTAACCTTCATACAAATATAGCTTAGTTTTATAAGAGAAAAATTACTTGGTTAAGTGCCCTATTTGTGCATTTGCTTCTTTATGCAAAAAAGTCAGTTATATTTTCCTATTAGAAGAAACACAAGGAAAAAAATAAGATATTAAAGATTCTGAAATGTCTCATCATATCCAATATAGATGTTTAAAAAAATTATAACAGTTACTTTAGGAGCTGCTCTTCTAATATAACTGGAAAGTAGTTCTTAGGAATTGATTATAATTCCACCAATGATCCATGTTATTGAAAACAATGTCTATGATGTTACACTATTTTGCCTCATTATCTATGATACAAAGCTAATGTTTCAAATGTATGATTTTTCAGTACTACAAGGGAAATGCTTGTTGCAAATCTGTTGAAGTTAAACTGCTACTATGAAAACAAAGCAATATTATTTTACACTATAAAAAAATCAGATTAAAGTCATAAAGAATATAATAGAAAAAAAAAGAGGAAAGTTTCTTTAGCCATCCAACTAATCTAAGCTCAAAGTAGATAAGCTCAAAGTGTGAAGACTTATAAAATAAGAATCAGAATTTACATTCAACTATAGTATCACCACAATGAAGTTGTTCATTATTAAATCAAACTTCATTTAATTTCATAGTGAGTCTCCTTGTTTGAGCTAGAACTTTAAGGTATAATCAATTCAACTTGAAGAAAAACCTTAGTATTTGTCCCATGAAGTAGAATAAGAGCAACACTGGCCAACAAAAATAAGAGTCCATATTTACTTTGAAATTTTCTAGTCACTATATTAAAAAGTAAAAAGACACAGCTGAAATTAATTTATCTACAGATCCAAAATACTGTCAACACAGAGCCAAATTGCAAGTGCTCAGTAGTCACATGTCATTAATAGTTATCATTTCGGTCAGTACTGACCTAGAGAAACAACTCTCCCTTTTTCACAAGGATGGGATTTCTTTGTAAACAACTTAAATTATCCATAGTCTTGTTTTGGGAAGCTCAAGTAGCTTCAAATTCTATGGGGCTGGAGAGACAGCTCAGCAGTTAAGAGCACTCACTGCTCTTGGGGAGGACCTAACCTCTGTTCCCAGCACCCACATGAGGGCTGCTCACAACTGACTGTTAACACCAGCTCCAGGGGATCTGATGCCCTCTGGCCTCCACAGGCACTGCACGTGCGCACGCACACACACACACACACACACACACACACACACAGAATCCTTTAAAAAAAAAAAAAACCTCCAATTTTATAAGACAGTTCTTTTGAAAACATAAGGCGGTTATCTGTCATATATTTTTGTCATCTTCTCACTGCCCTAAATGTAAGCCTCCTCATTGTTTCTGTCATTCATTCATTCACCCAGAAAATAGTGGCTCTCTAACTCATTATTCAATGCCTTGTGCTTCCTCTTTAGCCATCCTCTCACATTCCCAGATCTTCCCAGATTGCAAATTCCATTCAATGGTAAGCATCTAGATCGCTTTACAGATTCTTTCTCTGTGTCCTTAGCTTTCTCCTATTTATTCCTTTTGCTTTTATCTCAAGTATCACCACCCTACTTTTAGGCCCTCATAATTCTTGTCTTCACTCCAAAAACAGACTTTAAAATTGCTTCTATGCTTGGTTTCTCTGAAAATCATGCTTTACAATGTCATTAAATTTATCTTTCTAAAAAACCACAGCAACAACAAAATCATGCTTCTTCCCAAGTTAAAATCTTACCTACAATATAATCCACAGTTTTGAGCAAGACAGTATCTGTTTCCAAACTGTCTCTGGGACTTCTCCTATCAGCTTCCTCATGCTTAAGCTCTAGTTATGAGGAAAACACATCTTCAGGTATTCTTTCACACCAGCGGACCCTACACTTACTCATTCTTCCTTCTAATTAAAACCTTCCTCATCTGACTAAGTCTTCTATCCTCAATGCCCAGCTAAATGTTCATTACAGAAATATTTATTATGAAAATCCTTTCCTAGAATAGAACTCTTTTCCCTTCTCCCATGTAGGTTCTTCAGCATCGGGTGTGTACCCTTTGGTAACAACTCTCATGAGAAGTTTATATCATCATTAGGAGTCTACCATTAAAATATTACTAACATTTTCATTCAGCTCCTATGTTTTATATAAATTCCCACCCTCTGGTGAAATTTCCTATATATCTGCATGCACATCATCCAACATTTCCACTACATTCTTTAACATACTAATTGATTATTTTCATCACTGAACTATCTGATAATTCCAGTATCTGAGGCACTTTTAGGTTTAGTATGTTGAATATTTTATATTTGAAGATGGCTCATATTTTACCTTCTTATTTGCCTCAGAATTTTTTGTTACATACCAGAAATTACATTTAAAAGAATGTAGAAGTTAAGATAAATGAGAGTTCTGTCCAGAATGTGCATACCTCACTTAGATGATTAGTGTCAAGGGACTGAATCAACCTAAGTGTATTTGTTCTCTATTATTGCTTTAGCTCCCTAAGTCTCCACAGATTTCAGTTTTTCCACCCACAGATTTCAGTTTTTCCAGTGATGGACTCTTACCTCGTTGCTTAGCTGGACCTCAAGTACAGATGGGCATTCTCAGTATTTGTTTTCCATCCTCAGACCATTAGCAGGGTCCCTATGTTTCTACTCCTCCAACAGTATACTACTGTTGTGTAAAAGAGTAGCTGGTTGGCAGAAGGTGCTCAGATTTTTCTGCTTCATCCTCAGAGTCAAGCAGAACCCTGTGCACTGAAGCCTTAGAGATGCAACTCCATCAGCAGTATGACATCTCCCCTAAAGATAAACTTTGTCTCCTATACAGTGCATGGTCCTAGACAAACACAGGTTTCCTAGAATCTTCCAAAGGAAACTTATTTGTTTCTGCCTTAATGCAGGTAAGTGCAATAGGGGAGGGGGGTTTCTTAATCTGCATCAATGGTAGATGACTTATGTCTTTATCAGTCCTTTACTAAATTATGAACATCCAGAGAACTAGAAATTTATCTATCACTGTATACATGTGAAAGTACCTGAATATGAGCTAGTCTCAATAAACAATTATAAAAATAACTAAATAACCTACATTAACGTATAAAAAAGTAAAGAAAAACATCAAGGCAAATAGTAGAATTAAGTATTTCTACAGGGACTAGAGAGATGCTCAGGGGCTAAGAACACATAACTGCTCTTGCAGAGGACCCAAGCTCAATTCCTGGGACCCACATCAGGCAGCTCACAACTGCCTGTAACTTCAGCCTCTTCTGATGCCCTCTTCTGACCTCTTTGGGCACTGAATGCAGGTGGTACACAGACACATACACATAATTAAAAATAAAATAAAAATATAAATTTTGGGGGCTAGAGAGATGACTGAGGGGTTATGAGCACTGGCTGCTCTTGCAGAAGACCCAGGTTTGGTTCTCAGCATCCACATGGTGGCTAACAACCATCCATAACTCCAGTTCCAGGGGATATGACACCCTCTTCTGGCGTCTGCAGGCAGTGAACAACATGGGTGAACTTATATACATGCAGAGAAAACACTCATATACATAATATAAAAATAAATAACAGAATTTAAAATCTCTACAGAACATGCCTTGGGAATGATTAGGTCAATTACATTCGCACACTTATAACTATTCATTTAATGTTCTTATTTCCCCTTTTTTGTTTATAATAAGGAATATGAGAGCGGTAAGTCACAGTAGACATATTTGTGAGTCCACAAAGGCATTTCTGGGAAGGTATGGTCTGTTCCTATACAGAGAAAGCATAAAAAATAAAATAATTTATAAGCAAACGAGATTATAAACTACTTACACCAATTTGTATTGGTATCTGAGAAATTTGACTCTTTGGGATCAGGATGAACATTTCTGTTCCTAGTAGAATCTTCTCTGTTGTGTCCATAACGTTCTTTCCATTCCTAGAAAGGAAGTTCAAATATATATAAAACAGAGAATAAATAACTCATCACTGTCAACAGATTCTATATAGAATATAACAATTTTTATCAGAAATTCACAAGTAATCAGCATAATTGTCATAGTGTCTTTAAATTCAGTTTTCATAAGCTTCAGTTTTGTTTTTTAAAATATTTTATTTATTATTTTTATTTCATGTGTATGAATGTATTGCCTGCATGTAGATAAGTGCACCTGTGTCATGCAATACCCGCGAGGAGAGAAGAGGCCGTCAGATCCACTGGAACTGGAATTACGGACAGTTGTTAGCTGCCATGTGGGTGCTGGGATTCAAACCCGGGTCTTCTGCAAGAACAACCAGTGTTCTTAACTGCTGAGCCATCTCTCCAGCCCAAGCTTCAGTTTTTAATAAAGACATTTTGCAAGGCTGGAGAGATGGTTCAGAGGTTAAAAGCACTGACTGCTCTTGCAGAAGACCCAGCACCCACATGGTGACTAACAACCATCTGTAATTCCAGTTCCAGGGGATCTGACACCCTCTTCTGACCTCCATAGGCACTGTACGACATGGGTACACTTACATGCATGCAGACATAAAACTAATTTAAAATAAAATAAAAAAGATTTTTTAAAGAAATCTTTTAAAAAAGACATCCTGCCAAATATGTTTACATTAATTTAGTATTCTAAAACTTCAAAAAGTATTATAACTACATCATGTGTATCTTGACTTTGTAAAAGTTGCAAGATGTTAAAACTTTCTTTTACTCAAATAAGCTACAAATATCATAGATCTGAAAAGTCACTTTTAATAGCAAATTAAAGTTGTATACAAACATAAATTAGACTATGATTCAAATAAGATTTAGGAGTCATCATAATAAAGACAATAAAATCACACTAACAGATTCTACATATTAAATTTATACAACTGAAATGGTCAACTGAAATCACCCAATTCAACCTTCTGTACAATGCAGGGACAGACTCATGCTTTTTGGTGCTTTGAATACATTGTATTTTATGTTTGAGCAGTCTATTACAATTTTGGTAAATTGTGGAAGTTACAAGTTCTCATAGATGAAATTTATTTCTAGTAACTTCTACTGTTTGATTCTAATTATGCCTTCTGAAAAAAAGAAAGTCTCCTTTATATATGGCATTCACTAAAATACACAAAGACAACTATCAAATCTGTTAGTCTTTATTTCTCAAGGTAGATACATCATATGCTAAAAATTCAGTAGTATAATAGTAAGTAGATTTTCTTCTTTTATTTTTTTTTGTTTTTGCTTTTATTTTTTTTTCACCCTCTAAGAGAAAGTAAATGGAAGACTGAACAGAGATTAATGAGGAAAATATTGTCATATTAGAAAAAACACAATTTAAAAAAATTTTTACTGAGAATTTCATATATGCATATAAGGTGTTTTGATCAAATCCATGCCCACTCCCTCCCCTCCAACTCCTCCCATATCTCCCCATCACTTTTTTTCTGATAACTTCAAGTACACTTTCTTCTTCTTTTTTTTTTTTAAAATAGGGCTTTTTGCTACTCTAACATTCCCCCCTCTGAAGAGGTAACCCTAAGATCTTTTAAGGATTAGACACAAGCTCCCAAATACTTTTGACATTTTTGGCCTTTGGAACAGAGTATGCTGCTAAGAGGCCCAAGGACATTCTCCCTGTCTACTTTCCTTTGGGGTCTTTTTACCCTAACTGCCTAACCAATTCCTACCTCCTATTCTTATCACATCATCATCTGAAGAGGTTACCCAACTTGCGGACAGGGAATAGGGACGCTGATGCTCTGGCTTCTTCCATGCTGAACAGGGACGCAGGGTAAGGCAATTGGAGTACCCCTTCAGTGGGTCTATCTAAAAGACTCCCATATATGTATAACTCTTATCTGTACGGGGAAAAGAAAGTCTTTGACTGGCGAATAGGAGATGTGAAGGAGAAGTAAAGGCAAGAGTAATTAGCATTACAAATTCTAGGCAGGGAACTAGAAAAAAAGTCAGAACAGGGCAAATTTCAAATGTTCATATGAGAGTCCACCGGAATTTCTTGACAAGAGCTTCCAAAAGCATCCTTCCACTGGGTTCTTCCTCATTAGAAAAAGCACAGTTTTAAACAACCAAAACTATTAACAGGGCTGCAAAAATCCACTCTGAATAGTGAGTGAATACATACCTTAGGCAAGTTAATGATGGATGTTGGACCCAAATGAAGTTACTACTAATGATTTTTTTTTTAATTTTATTTTTTATTTTAATTTATGTGAATGAGTGTATTGTGGAGATCAGAAAACAGCATTGGATCCTGTGGAACTGGAGTTACAAACGGTTGTTAGCTGCTATGTTGGTGCTGGGAATTGAACCCAGGTCCTCTGCCAAGAGTAGCCAGTGCTCTTAACCACTGAGTCATCTCTCCAGTCCTCTAATGACATTTTTAGAGTAAGTCTGACAGGGTACCTAGCATATGTATACATGAAAGCATTAAAAATCTTCTTCTTTAAACATGCATTCTATACCATTTACCTACTGCTTTTCTATCTAACCATTTATTCTAAGTAAGTAATATTCTTATGGTATTTTTGAGACACTGCACAATTACAGCAAATTAATAAAATATTGTACTTACTCTTCTTCGATTTTCACCTTCTTCTTGCCTTTGCCGTTTCCTTTTCTCTAAAGATAAGAAAAGTGGCCTCAATTTGGTATAATGTGGTTTTATTAGACATAGAGTAACTGAAGTAAGGGTACCAGACTATGATGACATTTCCTTTAAATTACTACAATACTGAAGGCAACAGGTTGTTAGGAAGGACCTTTGAGGTTACCTCATTACACAGACATGTTTCACTGTTTTTCACTAGAGATGGCTTTGTAGTCTGTCTACTTTTAATGAAAGAAAAGTTTTCCCTCATGGTGTCCTGAAATTTGCTTCTGTAACTTCTACTCTCTTTCATCGCTTTCTTTTAAACTATGTTTATACTTTCTTTTCTTTCTGTATAATTCTTATTTCATTTTACTTCAGACTAGATGCTCACTATATGGAGCCCCACTCCCCTTAAGACAAATTCTATAGACTCCTAATTCAGATTGTTCTCTAACTACCTTCCAAGTTATCATTCTTATAAATCTAACTCAGGAAGGATCATGATATGCCAAGTGAAGTCTAATTAATATGAAGACATAGAACTACTTATTAAATAGACACTACTTTCCTATGACAGACTATAAAGGCTATAGTAGATATTTCTGGAGACTGTGTAAGAACCAATGCCCCAAAGCCAAGATTATTCTGTCCATTCTTCTGTCACTTGAACATTAGTAAATAATCCATCAGTAAATAATTCAATTTCATAACTGGGTTATAGGAAAGTTCTGTATATTCTAAAAGTAATCATAGTCACACATCAATGATCATTACACTCTAAGAAAACAATCTGAATGATTTCCCACACAGTATCAAACTAATAAATCTTTAAGTTAATGAGCTTTATAGTTGTACAGAACTTGGCAAATATTTTTCAAAGCAAACACAAAAAACAACTCTGCTTGGTTTGGATCTTAAACATTCCTTAAAATCTTGGTCACCAGCCTATGCTGCTGTTGGCAGGTGATGGAGCATTTAGAAGGCAGGACATGGTGAAAGGAAGTTAAGTCATTGGGGGTGTGTCCTTGAAGGAATTATAGGGACCTTAACCCCTTCCAGTTGTCTCTCAGTGTTTCTACATGGTAAACTGGTTTCCTCCAGTGGTAAATTAGTTTATTCTCTGCCATGATATACTGCCTTGACATTGGTCCAAAATCAAGTGAACATAGATTGAAACATCAACTATTGTAAACTAAAATAAATCTTTCATCCTTACAAATGTCTCAGATATCTTGTCACAGAGACAGAAAGCTGATTAAAACAAACTCTAAGATCATAAGCGGATATTATCTAGTAACATGCATACTAATAATTTATGCTACGGAAATTTCTTAAACATTATAACTATGTTTTCAAATATTTTTAGGGGCTGGAGAGATGGCTCAGTGGTTAAGAACAATGGCTGCTCTTGAAGAGGACTCGGGTTCAGTTCCTACCACCTACATGGGTGTTAACCATCCCTAACACCAGTTCCAGAGGATCCCACACCCTCTTCTGGCCTCTGCAAGTATTGCACAATACAGGTATACTTACATGCCAGCATAACACTCATATACATAAATCTTAAAAAAGAACACTATCTATAGATTTTCAAGATAAAACTCTGTAGTAAATTATAAGTTTTAAGGTAGATTAAAATTATTTATAAATTATGCAAATATTACTTTCAGTCTCAGCACTTAACATCTTCCCTTTATTTATTTTAAAAGACAAATCTTACCTCGTCTGATTAATTCTTTTCCTTCATCAACTAAGTCTGATGTCATATCATTATCTCCCATGAACTGCTGGAAACCAAGCAGATTCAAACAACGGGTTCCCAAACTAATAAAAGTAGATTTTAAAGAAAATAAGCATTATTTTACTTGATAAATATTTTGGACAAATTGTTCTTTACTATTGTCATTCCCAAAGAAACTAAGTTTTAATATTAGTCATCATGTCAAGTTATATAGTATTATGGCTAGTCATCCTCAGAAAGTACTTATTTCTCCTTCGAAAAAGCTTGCGCACAGCCTGACATGAAAAGGCATATTTATATGGCATTATCTCTTAATATTACACTAATACTTTCACAAAACTTTTAAATGAATAAGCATATAATCAAGATTCAGCATTAGATATATAAAGCCTGCTACTCTTTCTTCTATCCTATTTTGAGGAAAAAGCACAAAATATTAGCTTTAGCATCAGTTCGTACTAATATTTTAATCTTATTTTACTTTTGTTTGTTTCTTAAGACAAGGTCTTGCTATGGTATCTTCCTGTATCAGCCTCTAAAATTCTGGGATTATGGACACATGGTATCATGATCAGCTAACCGTATTATTTGGAATTATACTCTTTTAGCTATTTTATTTATCAAAAAGCAAAATATAATTTTCTAATTTGAAGAAGGCATCTGATCCCCTGGAACTGGAGTTATAGATGGTTGTTAGCCACCATGTGGGTGTTGGGAATTGAACCAGGGTCCTCTGCAAGAGCAGTCAGTACTCTGAACTACTAAGCCATCTCCACGGCTCCATGTTAACATGCTCTTTATAATTATGAAGTAATACTATAAGCTTGAAATAAAAGTTAAGTTGAGAAAACTTACTTTATTAGGAAGCAAATTAATATTAATGAAATGTTTTTGTAAAAGCAGTATTTGGGGCACTTCATAGAGTACTTAATCAGTAAGAGAGGGCAGACAGACTAAAAGGGTGAGGGTACCTGAAACCTGAAAGTAAAAAGACAGGCTTCTAGAAGACAAGCACACCTGTCTTTGAACTCTTCATTTTTCTAATTTTTTGAGAATCTCATACATGTATACAATGAAATACGATCATATATACCCTCCATGTCCCTCCTCAAACTTTTCCCATACCCCCTCCAACACCTCTTAACTTCTTGTCTTTTTTGATAACCCACTAAGTCTGATAAGTAGTGTCCATATATGCATGGGTGTAGGGCCATTCACCTGAGGATGGGAAACCACCAGTGGCCATATCCCCAAAGAAGATTCTCCCTCCTGGAACAGCTATCAAACTTCCAATAGCTCTTTAGTAACAGGTAGGGCCTAGAGATCACCTTCATCTGTGCAGGAATTTTGGTTGGTTTGATCTTGTATAAGTCTTATGTTGGTAACCACAGCTGGTATGAGTTTATTAGTGTAATAGTTTTAACTTTTTTGAATCTTACCTCTGTGAAAATTTTATAATCCTCTCTAACACCATAAAAAGAACAGTCCATAGGCCTTCTAAAAGTAGGGGATAATTTCTCTCCAGCTTCATATGTACCTCTTGAGAGAAATACAGGACAAAACCACTTTAAGATTCCATCTTACCCCAGTCAGGCTGGCTAAGATTAAAACAAAAGATTAAACCAAATGCTGATGAGGATGTGGAGAAAAGGGAATGCCCCAATTACTGAGGGTGGGATTACAAACTCACTATGGAAATCAGTATGGAGAACTCTTAAAAAACTAAAAATGAATCTGCCATATGATCCTTGGCATATACCCAAAAAACTCTTCCTACTATAGATACGTATACATCCATGTTTGTTGCTGCTCTTTTCACAATAGCTAAGAAATGGAAACAACCTAAATGTCCCTCAACTGATGAGTGGATACTGAAAATGTGGTACATTTACAAAATGGAGTTCTACTCAATGGTAAGGAAAGATGAAATTAGGAAATCTGCAGGCAAATGGATGGAACTAGAGTGAATACTAAGTGAATTAATACAAATGTAGAAAAGCAAGTGACGTACGTTCTTCCTCATTTGCAGATGGTAGCACCAAGATATATGTGAGTATATATCCTGCTGTAACAGCAGGAGCCAGTTAAACAGAAAGGAAGCATGGAGGTTAAGGCTCGTGGTAAAGAGTAGAACAGGGGGGTAGAGAGAATACTAATATATCTCTCAACTCTTACCAGCAAAGCTTCCTCATACAACAAAGTGTGACGCACACAGAAGGCCACAACTGGCTAAGTTGAAGAGAATAAGAGACTGCAGAGTGTGTGTCCCAGGACAGAACTCCTATATTAAACCTCACCCATCCACAGCTCAGGGACCATTGTGGAAGACAGAGAAGAAAGATTGTAAAAGCCAAGGTTGGTCCATGAAAATAGGGAAACAGAAGCTTTCAGGCCACTGGAAACTTGCTCATGTGAACTTGTGGCAATGGTGGCATCATGCACAAGACCTATGCCAACTCAATCAGACAAGAACCCAATGTGGAGCAAGGAAATGGGTGGCAGGCCCTGGCCTTAGCTTGGGAACTGTTGGAGACTGATTACCTCTGGGTGAGGGAGAATAGATATTCTTTAAGATCTCTAGATAGGCTGACTAGACTCCAGTGGATGAACTTGCACCGAAGGATAGCCGGAAAGGACTTTATATGACAGAATGTATGAGGGCCGGCGGGGGGGGGGGAGTGTCTTTGGGGACCAATAGATGGGGATCTGAATTTGATTAAGAGCTATTGTATGAAACGCACAAAAACTCAATAAAAAATTGAAAGGACGAAAAACAAAAAACCGTTCCTCACTTGACCCTCTGTATTGGCTATTATCTGAAACATTTAGAAACCCAGCAATAATTACAGAAAACGTTCAAAGTCTAAATTATGTTATTGGAAAGAAGTTAGGCTTGAAGGGATACTGTAAACTATGCTGGTTGTCAATGTCAAAGGCCAGGACTTAGGAGCTATAATCAAACAATTAATCTTATCATTTTGTAGCCTAAATATGGTAATAGAATAATTCTCCTTCAACTAGCTCTACAGAGAGAACCTGACCCAATCATTCAAAAAGTCCTTTCAAACTATCCTAGCTCTTCCAAAACCAAAATAAAACAAACAACTAAAACTAAGCCAGTAAAATAGTTTTAAGGAAGAAGGACATCAAGATCCAACTAAGAATATGAAAAAAAAAAAAAAAGCAAAGTTTCTTACCTAAAATAAGTAGCAATGCAGAGAATTACCACCAACATAGGATAATATATATAGAATCCATCTGCAATAAAGGATAACACTTTCATGGAACCCATAATCTGAAGAGCAAGAAAAAAGTTAAATCAGCATAGTTCTATCTTCTCATTCCTCTGCATCATTAGAAAATTTACCACAGAGTTAGTATCTATAAAGTAGAAAGTACAAGCAGTATAAATTTCTTTTTTAAAAACATTTTATTATTTATATCTTGTGTGTACCGGTGTTTCATCCACATGTATGTAAGTGCACCCATGTCATGCAATGTCTGCAGAGGTCAAAAGAGGATGTCAGAGCCCCTGGAACTGGAGTTATGGATGGTTGTTAGCTTCCATGTGGGTGCTGGGAATCGAGCAGCACCCACTAAGCCATCTCTCTAGTACTAGTATAATTTTGTTTTTTTGTTTTTGGTCTTTTAAAGACGGGGTCTCCCTGTAGCCCTAGCTGACCTGGAACTCCCTATATAGACCATGCTGGCCTTGAACTCACAGAGATCCACCTGCCTCTGCTTCCTAAGTGCTGGAACTAAAGGCATGTGCCACCACACCTGGCCTCAGTATAATTTTCTTAAACTTGCTTTCTACTAAGGTTTTCTTCTAAGGAAATCTAATATTTTACAATTATTGCCCCAAATTAGATACATTAAGACTATAAATTAGATACATTAAGACTATATATATGAATGCTAATGCTACTATGGGGCTGGTTTTTTGATACTGCTCACCTAGGTAACCTATATGGAACAGACTTTTTTGTATAAGAAAAGTAAAATCACTTT